AACTGCCCTCTGTAGGTACGTAACTGACTAGTTTCTCGAATATCGATAACGTTCGATAATCGAAATAACGGAATAAGGAATAGAGTTTCCGGTTTTGAATGCGTATTGAAAATATATACCTTAACTACACGTATACACGTGTATTTTAGGTATGCGTGAAATCGAGATCTGTAGTAAGGAAGATTTGGCGCCAAAATTGTTAATGGCGACTTCATATACATTCTGCATGTACATATGTATAACTAATGTCATATTCACGCAAGCTCTCAACTTTCAGAAAGAGAAACTTTAACAATTAATCGAACGAAGCTGTTTGTAATATTCATTTGGCGCCATAATATCATCCCAAGGGTTGGTTAAGCGCATACGAATCGCGTACGAATTGCATGCGATTGTATATCCGTTGTATTGATGTCACGTATTTTGAAATAAACCGCACGACCGATATGCATGCCCAAACATAGTAAAGAATCGGCAATCGTGTGCTACGTTGAATTATCCGATTCTTACATATACGGATATAGAGAACGAATTATTCTTACTTGGCTTTCAAATTGCCTTCCAGCACATCGGCGCCTCCGCCTTTCCTTGTGGTCGGGAAATTCTATCATGGAAACTTGCGATCATACGTGCGTGAAAACTTGTCACTTGCATTTCATTCCGCATTCGATACCGTCTACGTAGTAAGAATAAAACTACACCTTACTCGAGTTTTAACAGAAACATATCGCCATTTCGGAGCACTCTCGAATGTACTATATCGCCATCTCTCGTAGCGAGTGAAATTACAGTCGATAGATTGACTATGATCGATACGGTTTCATTTTACGGTGCTTCTCTTGAGACGCCATTTTCCAAAAATTTGAATTTACAACACATTCGCGGGAGTATCGTGTTTGGTAACGGTTCGTGACTCGACAAAGTGGATGCTATTGAAATTGTAACAGAGCGTGACGACGGTGCTGAATTGAAATGTGTTGGCGTTTATGTTTGCAGTCGCAATTGGGTTCAAGTGGTAAAGGTAATTTAATGAAATACTTAATTCAAGAAATGTGAATACAGCTTCTTTTATACTTATGAAAAGTTCTCGAACATCTCATGTTGCTATATACGTATGTATACCTACATTATATGCTCTCCATATAATATTACGTGGTATTACATTTATTCCTTTTAAGCTAGACGAGAATATATATTTTTTATTATACGTACGTACATAACGTACACAACGGCATAATTATAAGTACATCTTGTACGTATTTTTAGAATATGGAGATTGTTAAATAATTTCGTCATTGATCAATTTCAGTATTTAAAGAAATGAAAATGGAAAATGAGAAAGATTCAATTCTTTAATTTTCAATGATATTCAATTCAAATATAAAAATTTGCAAATTGTAATTCCTTATTCTTTAATCTGTATTGAATTGCGAGCGTTCGATGCATACCATATCTCAATATGTAGAATTTTATTTCTTTCCAGTTTAGAGGTCGCCATGTTCCATGCGCACGGCGCCATCTGCCATTCGTCGCGAATTATCGTCAAGAATTCATTCAAGTTGCGCGCGTTCTCTCCATTTGACAAGTGTTTCGTGTTGTGTAGCCCGGTGAGTTCTAGCGTAGAACGATCCAAAAGAAAATGGGTGTTACTGTGTAAGTAGATTTACAACTAAAAATATTTCTCCTGTTTACCCTTATTTACAATTTGAACGATCGTGGACACTTAATTTTATATACTATACGTATTCGCTTTAACTTTTGACATTTAGAGGTTATGTCGAAATAGCACATGTTAGAATAGAACGAGCGTTCTAGAATGTTTTGTCTCAATTGTTATGATATTCTCTTAATATTGCGGTCGTCACAAGTATTTGTACTTCTCTAAATACAAAACTAACGCCCTTCAGTAACTCGTTAGTAACCGGCGTTTTGTATTTATCAGTTTGCAGCAATATCCGATGACAGAAAACAAAACCGGACCGCAAACGATCGAATTCCTGACAAAACGAGTCGTCGCTCTTGGTGCAGTGCAAACCGGCCAATTTTTAGTGGACTGTGAGACGTACGTTTCGGTGCCGCAATTGGGTGAGTGTTTTCACATTTTGAAATTGAATTTTCGTCATGTTAGTTGCTGAAATGCAGCGTAGTACGTCGTCTTGAGCACAGATGGCTATAATTGTACGCCTGCAAGAGAAGCTTCACAAAATGAACAAAATTTATCATCTTTTATTGTGATATATTGCGATATACATATAGGCAAAGTAATAAGGGCAAAAAGATCATATCTCTTAATCTGTGAAAGTATTATATGTCTATGAAGATATAGGATCGTTTAGTATACTACATGTAGGAAATGTTGGTAAGAAGAGAATAAGAAAAACGATCGTTTGACGATTATATCTGCTTTTTCTTTTGGCATTTTATGTAGGTGTATATGGATTTCTATACAAACACGCAAGTAGTTGGTTCCGCCGAAGGTCATTTAGCGCTTGGATCATCCGTTATTTCTAGAGAGGTACAAATGCAGACGCTAACGAATTACGATTTTTAAGTACATACTCATTCGTAGCTCAAATACAAGATATACTCGTTCGATACGTGCACGTCTCTTTGAATGCAAATTCGCATACCACCGTGTCGGCAGGATTGTTTTGTGCTATTATTCGTATCTCTTCGATCGACTTTGCCCCGTTCAAGAAATATCCACAGATAACGTGTGATTACTTCTGTCTATTTTTAGAATCGTTCTCGTAACTAAATTAGCCTAATTATATGTATATATGATGTAATCAAAGGAATCCGTAATAGAAATGTGATAAGCATAAGTCGAAGTTCAATCGAAGAACCACGAACTCTTACAGCAGCGTATTTTATATTACAGTTTGCGTATCGTGTTCGATCGTGGATCGCGATCTTTTTTACGGTGGTCGTAATGCGAATTAATCGTCCCGCTTTGATTCGAATTCCGCGCATCATTGATCGATCGTAAAGATGATGCGCGAACATATAAACGCGTTTCTTAATTCGCGAAGGTACAAACGAGCTACGTCTAAGCGTCATTACAAAAATATTAAATCTAGCAAGCGAAGCTAGGCGCGGACCTTCCAGGCTAGGTCAGGTATATGTTTATATATATATGTCGGAGATGGAAGGATATCGGGGTTTCCCTTTTGGAATGTTGGGAAAAACCCCAATACCCTAGTCCAGATTTTTACTATAGCTACACTTAAGTAATAAAACTAAGAAATAGTTTTAATGTTCTAATTCAATTTTATGACGATGGGCTTGGGCTCGAAGTGACATAACGGATCACTGGACGTAGCCATGGTCAACGGGATGACGAATGCGATGTGATACACGTCTGACTCAATGTATAAGTCAAACTTATCTGACTGAACTGATCCGCAGTCCAAGTGGAACTGCCGTTATATATTCTTCTCCCCACCTCTCAGGTCAATCTTTGTTTTTAAGGAGAGCTATATAATTATTCCATCCTCTGTTTGGTACACGTCCCTCCCTTGACCGTGGCTACGTCCAGTGACCCGTTATGTCACTTCGAGCCCAAGCCCATCGTCATAAAATTGAATCAGAACATTAAAACTATTTTTTAGTTTCAACATTCGAAAAGGGAAACCCCGATGTCCTTCCATCTCCGACATATATTATATATATATTATATATAATATACATACATGTAAGTTCATATTACTCTATATATATCCTTAATGTATGCAGCTTTTGAAAAATACGTTCTGTCGGAATATTCTCTTCCCTGATTAGCTTTATCTACATACAAACGTTCGAACATCCCATTCGGTGACGGCCAGCGCTTCCTTCGAATGTCCTTTCTTCTTTTATTGTCGATAACTTGTAAATAGTTCGCGTTTAATTTATTGTCGATATATAGAAGACGTAATTATGTATAATGTATATAGAGGCTACTTAACAGACCGTGGCGTTCTCAATGCCCGGATGCACTACCGCTTTTGCTTTGCAAATTTTTCATTCTTTAACATATTCCATTAATGTTTCTATTTCTTTTCTCATTTCATAATAACAGACTTTCCAAACTTCAGCAACTTGTATTATCCTTATGTCAATTTCAATGCACACATTTACAAGCAACTTTCATTGTCCTTGTTCTGACACATGTATATACAGCGTACACGCACATACACACTCACGCACGATATACGCACACAAATATGTATACGAACGCGTGTTTGATGCGGGCCACAGAATTTTTCGAAATAAATATTTTTATCCGAGCCGTGATGAAAAAGATAATTCGATCGGCCATTTCACCAACTCCATCGATGCGTTAATAAATTTTTTGATTGCACTTTGCTCAATATGTACCGTAAACCCAATGTTTCTCCTTGCATTTTTGCCTTTCTCGCGTTTTTTTCTTTTTTTGTTTTGTTTAATGAACAAATCATTTCCGCTAAATGTTAGTATCACACCACGGCCTGCGTCATCAAACTCACGGTCTTTCAAGTAATAATTGCATAGCTACGCGTGCATTATGTAATACGAATTCTAATCTGACTTTCCACTCGCTGTTTACTACGTCTAAGGATTACGATAATACCTTCAATTCACGAAAGTGCACAGTGCAGATTTTTATTTTTTATTCTTTTTTTTTTCTTGTTTCCTTTACGTTATTTCGCTCGCTGCGTGTCTGTGTATATTATTTTACTTAGCTATTAACTAGCCGAAAGAGAGGTGTTCCGATTAATTAGGAAAGATGTGAGGGTGTTTATCGTTACTACTTGTACAGTTGTTCCGGAGAATTTATACCTCTACACCTATTCAGCCCTTCTAGACCATATTCTTAAAACATTTATATACTTATCGTTCGGCGCAGTACACTAAGGAAAAAGGAGATAGTCTCACGATGGTCGAAGAATTATTCTGTACAATTTATAATGTGTATATATTTATATATTCATATATAGAATCCCGGAGTATCTTTTCTTTTTTTTTTTCTTTTTGATTTATTTTTATTCTTATTCTATGTGCACCCGTTTCACGAGTATTGCACCTGCGTTAACTTAATTGTAAAGTTTCATTTATTCAATACTGCGTCCAAGCCCTTGAGCATTATAAGGTTCATTTAGATGGTAGGTTTGAGATTCGAAGATGCTGCGCTCTCGTTTCTATTTGTAGACAGTGACACGTGTCTGGAAAATTTGATGAAACTCTACGTTAACTTTTGAAGAAATTTATTTTTATTGTTAGTATGCTCGGTATCTAACGGAAAGGTGGCAAATGGAAGTAATTGGAGTTACGTTTAAAGCGAAAGGGAGAGACATCGATCACCGTCCACAAAAGTAACCGATCCGTTCTTTCCTTCCCTCTTTCCTCTGAACATTTTAAGTACAAGTTTCCCTATTTCTATTGTACGTCGGAGGACCCAGCACTCTTCGTTAGAATATTGGATATGGCAGGGATATGACTCACGGGGTTATAAACGATTACAGATATAAGAAATCCTGCCGATAGACTACACGGAAAAAATATCGTTTGACTCTATTATTTTATTACCAATGAATGAAGCATCTGTTTAAATGAAATTCGTAATTAATTTGATGAAAACTAGATGTTCCTGATATGTCGATATCGATTTAATATCCCTGATATCGGGCGCTTAATTAATTGGAATTCGTTAAATCTATAATTAAACAGCGACATTTTTTTAGAAAAATATCAGAACGACTGAACGTAAACTCTTAACGAATGGAACTTCTTCGTTCTATAGATACATGGAATCTCTCCTTTTCTCACGTGAAACGATAATAACTCGTGGTGAATATTTTCATCCGTGAAGACCAGGCGTTCGATCACAGAGTGCAGAAATCATTTCTGCAAAGTCGACGCTGACGAGTTCTACAAACTATATAAAAATACAAAATACAAATGCCGTTTCCTCGAATACCTTCCCTCGAAAGACTCCTCTCTCGGGTTCCAGATTCGACGATATCATTGCACGAATCTTACCCTATACACCAAACGCTTATCTCATCGAAAATTGTAAAAAAATTCATCATCGATCACAGTCGTATCCTCGATCGAACTCGCATACTATGTTCAAAAGAGTCACGACTGTCATCCACGTTACAATAGGACAAGCTTTTCAAGTTTCCATCTACGCGTGTCTCGTGAGTTTGGCAATGATTAGTTACAGTATTGTCGCAAAAATGTTGTTCACCACGTCCGAACAGTTGCACGATCGGTATTACATAAGTGTTCGTACTGGTAATATGTATATAATGTACAATAATAGTCGATTTATACAATAGGTACTTAAGTATGAAAGATAGTACGCGTAATATGTATAATATATCTACAGTTAATAATATTGTCATCATTAAGTCAATAGTGGCCATTGTTAGAAACGTGGAACGAGCCTCCCTCCTCCGTGTGTTTATACTTATAGCCGCGACAAGTAAAATATTCTCTGTTCTGTCGTGTCTAAGTTATTTTCTCTCTCTTCTACATTCTTTCCTCGGCGATAGAGTTTACGTCACGATTTACGTTCACGGTGTATATAATACACCGTATATCACGGTCGTGCGAATAGCGTTAAATTGGCGGAAAAGCAAGGAACACTTCCTCGGCCACGCTCAGTCGATCACATCATCTGGTTACGTTCCAGTCGTTTCGTTTCATACGATCGTCGTATTGAATAAAAAATACATATACCCTTCGTTCGTTGGTGCACGTTCATCACGTGGAGTAGAAATTTCCATTATTTTCCCATCGATTTAACAGGAACGCGTGTATCGTATTTCAATGGAGAAACAACTTGTTCCACGTTCTCCTTGGCGTTCTTACTTGGCCAACGAAACTGCTAAAACCACTAGGTTTGAACATCAGTCAGTCATACGCGCTTTCGAAACAACAAGAACTTGCTTTCTGGAAGAAAAGTGGAATTTTCCGTTTGTTATACTATCACGTTCTATTTAGTTAATTAGCTTTTCACGTGTTAGCCACGATTCGAAACTCGAAGACGTAAGTTGAAAATATCACGGTGAATCTTGAAGTGTTTAGAGAAACGTCGACGACAATCGACGGACCAGTCTATCGATTCTATTCTAAACAATTTATATTAATATATATATATGTGTGTGTATATATATACGACTATTATTTTTTCCTGCTTGTTTCTTCTTTTGTTTATATATATTTATACATGTACGTACGTATTCTGCGTTATTATCTGTACGTCTATATTTGCGTGCTCTCAGAAAAGGCACGTTGCACGGAAGAGCGTTCTTTATCTTTTTTTTCTTTTTTTCTTTTGTTTTTTTTTGTATTGTTTCGACGAGATCCATCTTTCTTTTCGGGTGCGTGTAATCCGCAAGTATTCGTTCTACGTAGTTTCGATAGTTACGGAAAATAACGTATGCTAATTTAATGCGCTTCTTGGTCAAAATATCGTTCAACGTTTCACAAGGCAAATCACGAAGATGGTTATCTAATACGAATTTATGTAATTCAGTCGTGTCGTTTGAAAACAGATCTTATTCCTTCATTTAACGATTTATAATATCGAAAGTGAGCATAAAACTGGTCAGAGAGAGGAGAAATTAACGCTCGAACGTCTCGCTGCGTTCTTCAATTTCTAACGAGTTACCCGCTATTAATCGTTAATCTCTATTCTACGTTCATATAAATTGTACCTTTTTTGATTACTCGATACAAGTCTTTTAGAATGTTTTACACGTCAAGTATTCGAAGATGATTAGAAAGGGAGACTCGACGCGTTCGTTCGATCGAATGTACGCGTTTCTGACCAATCTTATACGCTAGCTGATGAATCATGAAATACGTTCATATTCATTTCTATCGTCTCGTCAACTGAAAAAAGCTCGTATCAAATCGATCAAGGAACTCAATAATCTAACGTCATTGCTAATGAGATCTTGCTGTGGTAAAAATCAAGTCGTTTCAATACCCTTCGATGTAGCAAATAAACAATTATCTCTGTTACCAGAGACTCTCGGTGGTTCGTCGTGGAAAGAAAATCTTCTAATACTTAAATATATTCTAAACGTCGCGAAAACATCACGATTCCAATTCGCGTCAATCGAAAGCTTAATCGGAAAAATACATCGGAAGAACGAGCGTCGTGAAAATCAGGTCACCAAGCTTCCTCGTTCTCAACGAACCATTAAGCATATCGGGTAGACGATGATCCATCGACGAAGAACGCTTTGATCGACTATTATCGTCAACCCTATTGCGTTTCTTCGTGCATCACAAATAGCACGTTTTGTAATAAATGAAAGCAACCGTGTCCTTGCCGAATGTCCTGCATTCTCTCTCGTAGTGTACCTGGCCGGGCTCGTACTTGCCACCCTGCGGATATCTGTTCAGCCTGGACAAACTTCTGTAGAGTCTCAAATAATCATCTTCGAGTTGGTCCTCCCGATATCTTCGACGTCTGTAACCATCGTCCAGCAGCCTGTCGTTTCTCCATTCCCTGTTCGACGATAGGAGAGACGAATCGCCTGAATCTCGTATTCTATCGTCCAGCTCGAGGTCCGAGAGGTCCTGCAAGCTTCTCGGGTAGCTACGCCGCGATTCGAGGGAATTGGCCGGCTGATCTCTGAAATTGATGGTTCTACTTCGTCTGGGCAAAGTCGAGCTGTAAAGCCTCTCGCCCCTTCCGTGACTAATGCCGTTCCTCAGGATCGGCTTAGACCCGTTTAAATCACTCGAGACGTCCCTCCAGCTGTTGTCCTCGTACGCAGCCGTGTAATCGCGATGCCTAACTCGTCGAGGCTGCATCTCCATGTCGCGATTTACGTAATTCGAATCGATGCTTCTTTCTTCTGGATACGTATCCTTTGGATATACGTCCTTTGGGTAGGCACATCTATCTCGGCGATTTCGTCCGTTCCGACCATAACGATGCTGATTCTCCTCGAGTACTTCAGGTCGTTCGTTCAGCCGATCGGAGAGTCGATAATCGTTTCGGATCACGTCTCCGTTGCTTCTATGCGTTGTGGTCGCGTTGCTGCGCGAACTTTCGTCGGTGGAACGACGCGCCGTGAAGAATCCACGGGACTGCATGAAACTCTCCACGTTTCTACCGATTCTGTTAGTTTTCTCAGCGAAGATGTTGCAATAATCGGATAATTTGCGATGATTACTCCTGTAGTTCGGTATGTGACAAGACGTCGTTGGAATATCCGTAGCTGGATTCGAATTATACAGCTCTCTCGGATCGTGTTGATTCGGATAAGCTCCTCCTGGTAGGGGTTTGTTGGATTTCTCCAGGTTCGACAAACCCCCCGTTAACGAGGCCTTATACTACCGTGCCTGTGCGTAGTCTGGATTCATCTCGTCCAGTTGTTTCCCTTTGGTCTCGGGCACGCAGCATACTACGAAACATAGTCCGCATACCGCGACTGCTGCGTAGAACCAGAACGCTCCGTGTAGACCAAACGTCTGTAACGTGATTTGGAAATATTTAACGTCGTGTCACACATGAAATGCCGTGATACGGTATATGAATAATGTTATCTAATCTCGCAAGATTCTAATCCGCAAGACGACACACAGACCCATTTCACGATATCAGTTTCAAGAATTACGCAATGAGAATAACGATAATCGATTAAAGAAGCGTAATCTCCGTTAGTTAGCTAGTTTTAGTTAGTTAGTTAATCAGGCAATAAACTACTGCATTAATGATATTTTAGTACCATACACTCATTTGGATACTATGGCAGATAAGTACCGAGGTATTTCAATTACGCACCGAAGCATGATCAGATACTGCGCTCGATTGTAGTTTATCGATCGAGCTTCTAATTAAATACCATATAGCTGGAATACCCAGACACTCGATATGCGTTAACCCGAAAGCGGTTGACGTTCTGCGCGACGTTGCGATCATACGTGATTAGGGCGTCTCACCTGCTGAAAATCCATGAAGAGCTTAATGCCGACGAACGCGCAGAAGTAGTTGAAGCTCATGCTGATGCTGGAGCCGAGGCCACGATACTGCAGGGGAAAGAGCTCGCCAATCAATAACCACGAAATTGGCGATATGCCCAAAGCTAGAGCGGTCGTGAAGACGAGCACGCAGAGCAACGGTATCCAGTCGTGCTGACCGACCACCGCCGTGTCCGGATAGCCCAGATTTTGCGTCTGCGACATGTAATAGGCATAACTGCCGAAACCTGCTAACGCCAACGACATGAACACGGTACTGGCAATCAGCAGCGGTAGCCTACCCACGATGTCGATCAGGAATCCTGTAAAACGCAACAAAACGATGAACGAAACGTTAGGAAGTCGATGGATTTCGTTGTGCGCGTGAGAAATGGAATTTCTCTCGAATATTTTCTTTTATTCTCGTCGTTTGACGAATGCGTACAACGACAACCAGAGGCTCGGGCTACCGTACCTGATAACATAGAAGCCAATAATTGCACAAAGCCAATTGCAATGGTCGCGCCGTGAGGATTCATGCCGCCCAGAGTCTGACGGAATATAATGACCGCGTAATAATTGAACGCGTTCGCTCCAGAAAATCGCTGGAAGAACATTAACCCGCACGTGATGGCGATTGGCTTGTACAGCTCAGGTGTGAACATGCTGTTCTTGAGCGTCTGCTCGTACTGCTTCGCTCGTGACGCCAGGATATTCGTTTTGATCACCTGCAACAATCGGATAATCGAAGTTTGTAGTACCGTGATGAATCGTTTGAAAATAGAGAAGCTACACGAGCGAAGTTTCGTTGAATCGTCGTCTGATTACGATGTAATACAATTTGCTGTACGACGAGAAGGAATGCCGATCGCATAAAAGAGGTATTCATAAGGCGAAGTATCTTTGAAATTACCTGCAGTTCGTGACGTATGTCGACCTGATCACCGCGCAGCCATTGCAAGCTCTTGGCAGCTTCGTCGTCTTTGCCATTCAGAACGAGGTACGATGGCGTCTCGGGTATAAAGAAAGTACCTAGAAAGAGCATCGACGGCGCTATGGCTACCAGCAGTGCGCTCTGTCGCCAGTTCAGGTACGTGCCCGCGATGTACGACAATAACACGCCAACGTTACCGACCACTTTCAGCATCGCCGATAGACAGCCCCTGATTCCCGGCATCGAGATTTCTGATATGTATACCTGAACGAAACGATTATTTGTTAGTAGAGGCCTCGTTTGCAATAATAAACCATAAACGGAGGAGTAAAACCGGCGAAGAATATGTAAGTACCAGAAGAGAATATTTTTAACGAAAAGAAAGGAAACGTAATTATTTCTGTTAATAATTACTCATTCAATCTCTGTACATCGAACAGGTTAACAGATTTAGAAAAGCTAAATAAATATCGTAAAATATGTCTAATTGGCACTTACGATTATAGTTCTATGTTATACTAGCGCTAACAGATAAATTATAGTCTAACATCATTTATACGATCTCCGTTTATTGGGACGAGACTTTAGTGTCCCATTAAACGAACTCCTGCCGATTATATCCACTTGTTCGGACGCAAACTCGTATTATATGGAGGGAAAGTCACAGATAATGGGAAAATTCAGTGAACTTTTACCACGCGTATGGACTCTAATAATTATACAAATTGTTTGTCTTCTTATATCGAATTTCTATACGCCAAGTTACAAGCACCACGTGAATTATCTCCGTAAATTCAAAGATACAGAAAATTAAATGACACACCGTGTGTTTTAAACGTTACTTATTTCTAGTCTTGGTATCGTATAGAAAGATAAAAGACGCTATACCTGAGCTACTATAACGATCATGCAGCAGCAAAGGCCTCCGATGAAGCTCGTGACGTATACCAATTCCAAGCAGGGTGCGATGCCCGTAAGGATCCATACGGCGGCCAGAGGCAAAGACGTGACACGGAGCGCCAATCTACGACCCCTCCTCATTATCCAATCGCCGATCATAGCACCGAACCATGCGCCCAGCATCGACAACGACGCTACCCACGAGGCTTCTTGTTGCGTCACCGAGAAAGCCGACCTGCGACAAATGGCAATACGGTTACAGATGACAGGAACTAACGTTATGCGAGGACCTAATCGTTCCCTAATACCAGGTCGCCTACTCTGGCCCTCTTCCCTCTTTCTCTCTCTCTCTCTGTCTCTCTCTCTCCTTCTGTCGTGTGGTTTTGATTAAGTCGCTGAACACGATCGATCGTTAGATCGGTCCTTGTAACGCATCGATCTTCGTAACCGGTTCAAGGATAGCTAACCAGTTGATGTGCTCTATTCCGACCAATATGTTGCCTTATTCGTCGATTAATTCGAGCCAATTATGCATCGTTTATGCGTTATAACCTATTTTATATGGTAAAAGAAAACCGTGAAAGGTTGTTAACTGAAGGAGTTGATATAATACGATAATGATGATGAGTTATCATTTTTGGAGCAGAGATCTGTGTATCGTGGTTGAATGTCATCTTAGACTCGGTGCAAATTAGTCGTGCAAATATTTTGTTAGCGTATCGAATTATGCGAAGAAATACACGTTGCGATCGAATGTCTTAGATTGTCCGAAAAGTGTCTTTCTTTTACAGACACGTCTTTTACAACGACGCATCTTTGTACAAACATGAAACCTAATCCGTCAAACGTTATGATCTTTATCTTGATAGAACAAAGTGGATCATACGTAATTTGTAAAATAATATAAAACGGAAAATGTGCATCCATTATTTCCTTATAAAGAAACTTTTCGGACGACCTAATACTTAAAGATTTCTCGCATATATTCGCTGGATCTATATCTCAATTACAGTGACGAATGAAGCGTGTGACAACCGAAATGCATATACCGATAAGAAGCCATATATTTGTTCGCCCTGACATTTTCATTATAGCCTTATAATCGATTTTGTAGCGTTTAGTTGCGATTAAAAACACAAATCGTTCGTCGTAAATTTCGTGGTTACGTAAAGAATGTAAACAGTCGAATATTATTGAAGGCATATAGCTAATGAACACAGTATTCTCGCCACTTTATGTGGCGTGCTTCGTTTATAATGCAACGTGATAAAACCGAGCCACTATCGCGGGGAAAGTGTGCGACAGCCAGCTCGAAACGGAACAGAGTGACGTTAATGCATTTGTTAAGTGAATTATCTAAGACCCAAGATATTCGCCCGCGCTTTATTACGACCCGGCGAAATATCTCGTCGGGTTTATTTAATTTGCTTATCTACCGACCGACGCTAATCGTTACCGGACACGACACATCTAACTCACAATTACTTATGAAGTTTCACTTTTCCTGTTTGCACATTAACGCCCGTGTTACGCTGCTCTACGTCTACGTCGTTTCTTAACGCAACTTACACGCTGCTCGCTATGATCTAAATCGCGTTGAACTTTTGCGCGTGAAAAGATTACTTACCCAGTGTCGTTGTTTGATGTTTGATAAAGGTGAGGTGGTTGGTTGTCTAGAATGGAGTCCAAGGCTGGTGAGGTGTAACCCTTTGCCAGGCCTGAGGACAGTGTTCCCATAGACAGCGCTAGCGTGGCCAACACCTACGAAGATATGCAAATTTGTTATGTTAATTCTTCGCCTGCCAAATCGCTTTAAAGTGTTTGTCGTTTTGAGATTACGCGTGAAATAGGAACTGCTGTGTTTTAGGTATTCAACGGTTTAGGTTTTCATTGTTATAATCTTTACTATCTTTGATATATCTCGTAAACTGTGGTAAGTGTGTAAACATTATTTGTTTCTGGTGGTAGAGTGTATAAAATATATTAGAAGATCAATTTAGTTCAAATTGGAAATACAGAAGAACAAAAAACAGTTCGAATAAAATAGAATCTATAACAGAATCTCTTTTCCATAGACATTACTCCCTAATAGAACCCATAGAAAATATCGTAGGTTACCATAAACAAAGTCATTCCTAATATTCTTCATCTGTTTACTAAACTTTTCATTCTCTCTCGTTCTTTCCACGTCTATTAATAACAAGAACGTCACTTGCCCCGAACCAAAAAGATCCAGTAGGTACGTAGGCAAAAATTGTAAAAAAATCTCAGCGCTAGAAATTAATCAAGACACAAATTTCAATAAAAAAAAAAACACGGCAAATTATAGGTCGAAAAGTACTTGTGCGGATTTATCAGGAATTTAGGAATCCGGAAGGATTTATCAGGTCTATGAAGATCGTAAGTTTCGTAAGTTAAGGGTAGTCGGAGGGTTGCGAATTCCTTCATTGGCAAATATAGCAATGCCAGCGATGTATATCGCGGAGGCTGCATATCGCAGCTTGCAATCGTCGGACAAATTGTTGGCCGCAAATTGAAAGCAGATCTCTACCCTCGCAAGGAATACTGAACATTTCGCATTGGGCCAGGCTCGTGCACACGCATCCTCGGCAACGATCGAGCCGAGCGCGTGACAATGCTCGAGAACGCTCGAGTTCCTCGTGTGTAGAAACCACCGATTTTATGGTGCAGGGAGCCGAAATTACGGCGCGATGGAATCTCGCGCGGAGGAATGCGAAACGTTGTTGCAACCAATCTCTCTATCTCTCTCACTCGCTCGCTCATTCACTCGTTCACTCATTCTCTTTCTCATGAATCCTCGAGCCTTTGCGATGAAAGGCTAGCGTTCGCGCATTTCGATAAACCTCAGTGAACAGATTTCCTCTGCTGACCGATCTCGTTTCCGCGTGGAAATGGATCGTAAAATCGTTGAAAAAGCAAACCTGCGTGGTTGTTGATTAATCGCAGTAGTCTATTTACTTAGGAACGATGGATTTGCGACACGGTCGTTTATAAACGTTGCAAATTATTCATCCCATGTGTGCACAGATCTAAGCGCCACGACCGCTTTTCACAATATCTCTTCCTCGGTTGCGTCACCGCGCGTGCCTCGTTTGTGTTACTGCAAAGTAAAATACACAAACATGGTGGCAGTAAAATACACTCGCGGATAGCCACTGCTCGTGCTGCAGCTTCTGCAACCATTAAGTTCTTGAAACTTCCGGGATTCTCCAGCTTTGCTGCCCTTCATACCTACGTCTGGAATACCGAAAATCCTCGATATCCAAGAGGACTCTGCACGTAGACTTCTATAGAATTCTCGGTTATATACATAATACGTGTGTCTAGTGTTTAGCATCGTCAATTCGACCTCCAAAGTCGTAATTTCTGTTTCCTTTTCCTTACTTTTCAGCGTGTATAGTTAGACAGTGTTTACACTCGAACAGCTACTGTAGCGTAATATACATTCGCACCTTTGATTTTACGATTTGTTGAATGACAACAGAAACCCACTCGACCGTGTAAATCATTCTCGTGCTATTCGAATCTGTACTTTTTACGCGGGAAATCCAATTTTATTGGCAGTATCTGTTCCGGCAAGTCGATCTGCTAGATAGTGTAGAACTACTTATTCGTGTGAATAAGAAATAGAGATGACATCAACCGCTCGAGCCAGACAGCATGTGAAAAATATTCGTGTCGAGGTATTCGATATTCTTTTCCGAGCGAATTTTTCCGCTCTTATGTCGGTCAGCTCACCGAGAATATAATTATTTATGAGCTATAATTGTAGGTAATGCAGGGTGTGCCTGCAATTATTGTGCAATTTTGTGATCTCGACGAGGTTGCTTCGCGTAAAATAAATTGCCACGTTTAAAGATCGCGAGATAAATGCATTAATTCATCGTGAAAGAGGGCAAAATTGTCCGCTTATTGAATTATGGCCAGCAGATAATTCAATTGCCGCGTAATGCAGTATTGATCGGTGGCTGTCAAAAATAATGATCGCTGCCTCATTCGATTCTCATCTCCGATTGCGGATAGAGACATCCGCTCTTAATTAGTCGTTCGGTTAGTTCCTATGCTTTTAAATAATACATCATTTTCTTGCGTAATTCGGTCATAAATTTGAAATAATTAAAATAAACTAGACTTAAGACTAAATGAAATACTCTTGTACACTGTTCCTCGGCTGTTATCTCCGTAAACCTATCGACTACTTTTAACAAACTTTTCTAAGGTGACACTAATATCAGGAAAGTAAGAAAAAGATTTGAAACTCTCGCAAATCTCTAAAATTTTAATCCGCCACTTCCTCTCGCGATAAATCTCCCGAACAAAATAACGAACACGTCGGAAGCAACCGGAAGGCGTGGCGGAAAAATTGCAAATGCGATGGTCGCGAACGAGTTCACCGTAACGCGGTGTCGCGGTACAGCTTTGCCGTTGAATCCGTAAAGCCGTGTCACTCGCACCTGTTCTAAAATCCTGTCGATATTTTATATTAAACTCTAGCGAGCACACACGTGTCGCCTGTTGTGTTTCATCCACACACACACACACACACACTTGTGTTTCGTCGCTATTTGAACGTTGAATCTCTGTTACAGTTCGCAGCATTACTTAGGAATTTTCTGTCGCGTGTATTTTGTTCGTGAACACGTCCAAAAATCACACGCACACTGCGTGTTTCATTGCTGGTCCGACATTAAAATTTTGTTCTACCGTGGAAAAGAAATTTTCGTCGCGTATCTGGCATCCACGAAAATATCCAAAAATCACACGCGCACGGTATACGTCATCGTAGTTTCAACGAATTTCACTGAGATTGTTATAGTTCGCAGCGTCGCTTAAAAGGAATTTTAAAAGACACGCGTCCTATGCCGATCCCACATAAATTTGCATAAACTTTCGATATTCCGCCGGCGTATTAGAGGCTATTAAACGCGACACAGCGATAACCTTTCCGCCAGAGACGTCGATATGCTGGCTCTGCGAACAATGATGCGTGGGTCGCGAACCGCTTTTCAAAGCTTTTTATTGCAGCGACATGGATCGTGCGAAAATCGTGCAGCTACTTAAATACGATCTTGATTAAACGACCAATCATTCTGGCTTGAGTCACTGCACTCGCGGAGTCTCGCTGGTCGATATTTCTGATACTCGTTATCAGTCGGGATCCGAGCTTTGGCTAGAGTTGCTGATCGAAAAATCGTAATTGATCGGGTTGATCTATAATTGAGTCAGTCAGAAGCTGTACCGGCCGGCATTATACATTGAGAAATAGAAGAAAATAATACGATACATATTATTGATATTTATCTTGGAATTTATCGTTATTCGCGCTACTTGCTTGCGAAAAATCGTGATCGATAATAATTTGGTTTTTCAGAAAGTTGAATATTAATAACGCAATAGTATTGTTAATAATGGGATTGCGAGGCTAAAAACGAAGCTGAGCAATTTTAGTTTCTCAAGGAATCAATTACCGATAAACTGTTCCTTTTATCGTTATTTCTCATATTAGCTTGATCTGCGTAATTATTTTGGGAATGCAACGATCGATAGCTGTATCGTTGCATGCCAATTGATACTTGTGACGTTAACTTGCAAAATTTTGAAAGTATGGAAAATCGTAAAGAATTATCTTTGGACATAATCGATCGCCTTCGTCCAGGCTGGAAATTGCCTGAAAGCAGTGACACGATGAACGCAGAGTGTCGAGCGGATCCCGGTAGTAGCCAGTTACTCTTGTCGACGCGTTAGTCTGGTGCAATTACTCGAATACGAAATCGGGCATCAGCATGAAGGAGAAGCAACGACGCTACGTGACTCACCAGCGGTTTACGACATTCGACAGTGCGATGCTGCTGTAAACCAGCCGGTGGCTCGCGTCGCTCTCCGCTAGTATCGCGTCCAGCTGGTGACCCAGCTTGGGCCCAGTTTAACCCTTTTGATGCTGACTTTCAATCTAACACGCTGACCATTTATAGTCACAGCGCGTTAAACTCATCTGTCAAACGTTCGTCTACGTACGTTGAAACGCCACTTGGGGGAAACGCGATCGAACAATCCGGATCGACATTAAACTGAAACTCGAAACCCCGAGTAACCGAATTATCCCATCTGTTAGGTTTGATAGGAGAGAAACAATATAGATCATGTTTGTTGTTACTAACTATAATATTGGATCTGGCAATTCCGTTATAACGTTGCATGTAGACTAATTTACATACGACCTCGTCGGCTTTATATGACGTACGTGGCGTGTGCAATGAGCAAGATGTGAAATTAGAGCGAGACGTATTGTCGTTAATTGAGCAACTCGTAGTGAATGCGATATAAATGATAGAATCTTTGATTTGGCAAAATTCTGCATATACGTAGATTCTAATGATTTAATGTCGTGGTTGTGGACGCGTATGGTGTGTCATTTCGATTACACAAGTAACACTGCGAACGCTTGTACGACTCTCAACGAGAAAAATGTGTTGTAACAAACGTTGCTGAAACGAAGCACAAAAAATAAATTTGTACGATTCCACACATTAAGATACATTGGATACTGCGTCCAGGAAAGTGAAAATTTGTAAGATAATTCTCTAGATAAATATGGATCTTGTCTTTGAAAAGGTATGATCAGTTTCTTATTTACTAATTACGAAAACTAATTTACGAGAAATAACGTAACGAGTTTATGAACCGAGCAATAGCATTGTGATTGTCAGCCAGTCGTACAATTATACGGGGCTCGTACGTTGATAATCGAATGAAAAGCTGCAAGATATAACGAAACGAGGTTCCCTTTCTACTCGAAATCCAATAACACGGATACCTAGTTACTATGCCGGATGCGATTATCCTCGCCGACTAATTGGTATATAATGGACAGCGTCAAAGTTAGAAACAGCGTGAACGAATCCGGGTAATTTCAGTTCGGCCGTATCGTGGAAACAGGGGTTGAGCCACGAAGGGCCGGCTACGCGATTCCGTTTTGATGCACGACCTGCATTCGATAATCCTGAAATCTAATTCTCGTTCGCGTGCACAGCAAGGATGGTAAATGGATTTGTATCGCAGCGCGTACGTTCAGTTTGTTTTCGGTGTGCAAATATTGATGGCGCCGTTCGAACCACCAACGATAATAAAATGGCGTTATACCGAGCGCGAGCCTTTTATCGGCCGCAATATCTGGCCGACCGTTGATCGCGGCAAGATGCGGCCTAATGGAAATCGCTTTAGCACCGACCAACCGCTTCCATAATCTGGCCAATCGATTCCACGAATTCTCAACCACTTTCCCTTTCTTTTCTTTTTGATTCTACAGCCTGAATATAGTGGGATCGAAAAAGGGCAGAGGTAGTTCTATGTGAAAAAAGAAGTGAAAAATTCGTAAAAGAAATCGTATATTGTGTACGCTATGTCATTATTCTCTGATATAATCGAAGGAAAATTCTTGATCGTGAACGAGAAAATCAGGCGAATCTCTTTAATGGTAGGATTAACTTAGGCGAATAAAGCGATCGACTGATCTTTGAAAAATTGACAGAGACTGGGAAACTCGTATCCCTAGGAAACTGTTGGAAAACAATTGAGAAATTGTCAACGTGGCAATCCGATACGAGTTTTCAAAGTAATTTGTCAAAAGATAGATACGAAGAGGATTGGAACGAAAATGGTAGCCTCTGCGGGATCTGTCGCGAGTCTCGTAAAGCTTTCGCGGTGACCGCGGTTAGTCGAAGTGAAATGCCCCGGTGCAAAAGCAACTTCGACCCGCCGTCGCAGCACCATTTCACGCTGAAAGTTCGGATGAACAGTCTCTGCTAGTGGTATGAATATCCCTGTTACGTGGAAGCTTCCTCCGTGCGTTTCTTCTGCTACGACGTTAAAAGCTCGTTTACGCGGCCCAAGGATGTGCCTCGAGTTAGGTCAGAGTTAACTAGGAGAGCCATTAGCTTAAAACTATTAGACGATGGTGCGCGGGCGAAGCAGGGGAAAAGAGGAAAGAAGGAGGGAAATAGAGCTTTGAAAGTCTTTAGAGTGGCGGTATTATGAAAATGGCTGGTCAGTCCGGGATAGCCAAGTGCACGTCATTGTATACAGGCGAGGAAGAAAAAGGAAAGAAGGTGGAAAGAGAGCTTCGACCGAAACAGCCCGCTCGATATGCATTTTAAGCTCGGGACACTCGATTAAGCTAGCGGGTGTCTTTGGTATTTGCATATCAATATGGACCTATGCCAAGAAGGAGATGTTCGCTACGCTTACTGGATTTGGATTATTCGGCAACCGGAGTGCACGACGAAATGGGCACGAGATAAAGTCCATCTTGATTGCTAATAATCGCGCTTGCACCAAATTTTGACTCGCTGCTTGCCAACTGTTCGTTTACTACTCTCACGCAAACTAGGTTGGAAACTATTTTTAAGAGTAGTAAATTTTATAAAATAAAATTTCTGATGCATTCGTGAGAGAATATGATCTACAGGGATTTATGGTTTTTACATTTCCTACAAACTCAGAGCTACTACACGAGAAAAAAGAGAAGCAGTTCGAGTGTATCCATTGAATCATTGCGTTCTGAACGAATAAACAATAAAATATAACAATTCGGATAAGCTGATAAGAAGAGAAGGATCGATACCTGCGACATGTGCTGCGGTCTGGTCGCCGTCGAAGTCATGTGTACCACAGAAGCTCTGGGCATTTTAAAACTGTTCTCGCCCTCGTCCGGCACAGTCGTTACCTGCAACATAAAAAAGATATCGATGATACAACCGATACGAAGCTTCCACGATGGTATTTCTTACGCAGCATCCTGCATCGAAACACTAAGCCAAAAAAGTTTCCTCCTTCGACCCTGTGTGTCCACTCGAGTCTTCCTCAAACGGACGCACTCTTATCGCGAGAATTTGATTTTCCACTTTCGACCAACTATAGATCTTACTCAACAGCCAGATTAGTCACGCGTTTCCCTGAATACCATTAGTCCAGCTCTATGTTATCTTCTGCCCTCTTCCAAAGAACGCGTCCACGTATCGTCCGGGTGTACATTGTTTTCGCTATTTGTACACAAATATTGACACGATATTCTATTGTCAAGCGAGATCCGTCGTTCTGAAGTCGCTCGTAAATTTCCATTTAGTTGGCGAGCCTATGCGAATAACCTTAGTAATCGAATGGCATTCGACGAGAAAAACGGCGACTTGAACTTTACGAGCTTCCAGAAACTACAAAGGGGAACGTTGAACGTGTTGCGAGTAACGTGACCAGCCCACGATAAGGCTTTCCGTGGCTACCATTGTCTAGGGGAGCCGGACAGATAATTGTCCTCGGGTTCTACGTCCAATTGTATCGCCTACGCGGTGTTTCTGGCCACGGAAAACGTGCAGAATCTTTTTTGCGTCTGGCAGGCCGTCAAGTTAGTCGGCCGAGGACCATGTTACGTCTAAATCCTCTGGCGGTGTCCACTCTTGGCCGCTCGAATGCGGATAGTTGCACGCCTGCTGGCCTGTTTATTTACATCCACCTGACCAGCAAATCGTAGTCGGGACTGGTCTGGTTTCGCGACTACGCGTGTCCACCGGTTGCTGTACGAGCTACGTTCAAATCCGTGACACCGGGGACGCGTGTGTTTTACACGATATTGGACGAGAATGGTAAGACCCCTGCTGCGATTCTTTGGCCTTCTTAGATATCTAATGAACGATGGTAACGGTTGTCCGACCTGTCCGTTCCATTCACGCCTTTCGTGATTTACTGCCAACTGGTTTCGTCGATCGACAAAATTTTGTGGCCGTTGTAAGCCAGTACCCGCATACTCGGCAAGCTACCGTAAAATTGTATACATAATACTTTAGAATTCTGTTTTTCGCTGTAGGCTGTACATACAGCGATTGGTAAAAGCGTCCTGACAAACCAGATTTTCTTGTAAGCTAACGCGCGTATCTATAAGACGTACGATTCTTTACCTAGATTTTTGTGAAGTACAATATTCGTCATTCGTTATCGCGAAGCAACCGTACGAAACAAACGATAAAGATAAATAATGAAAACTATAAAACGGACACAACGCTGAGAAACTTCTTCCTCGCTTATTTACTTTGCTTATTTATTTAATAACAAAGTGTCTCGAAATGAATATCATAACTATTTCCAACCTTTGTTCTCGAGGTATGTGAATTTTAAACTCGAAAGTTGTGTTTCACCTAAAAATTCCATAAAAAGAATCGTGATCCTCATCCCTTCCTTATTTTATTATTTATTTATTTAAGTTTATTTATTTAATAACAAAGTGTCCCAAAAGTTGTGTTTCACCTAAAAAATTCCATAAGGAAAATCATGTTCCTTATCCCTTTCTTATTTGTTTAATAACAAAGTGTCTCGAAATGGATATCATAACTATTTCCAACCTTTGTTCTCGACGTATGTGAATTTTAAACTCGAAAGTTGTGTTTCACCTAAAAAATTCCATAAGAAGAATCATGTTCCTTATTCCTTCCTTATTTATTTAACAACAAAGTGTCTCGAAAGTTGTGTTTCACCTAAAAAATTCCATAGGGAAAATCATGTTCCTTATCCCTTCCTTATTTTATTATTACTTATTTATTTATGTTTATTTATTTAATAACAAAGTGTCTCGAAAGTTGTGTTTCACCTAAAACATTTCATAAGGAAAATCATGTTCCTCATCCCTTTCTTATTTATTTAATAACAAAGTGTCTCGAAATGGATATCATAACTATTTCCAACCTTTGTTCCCGACGTATGTGGATTTTAAACTCGGAAGTTGTGTTTTAGCTAAAAGAAAAATCATGGTCCTTATCCCGATTGAAACAGAGCAGCTGATCTGTAACGATACTTTTGTTCGCCACTGCACATGAATACGGTTGTTTCGCCACGTTCGCTTCTATCGATCTTCGTATGATTTATGTTAGAATGGTTCTCCAACTCGTGTATCGTTCCCTCCTTTAAACGCGTGGGCTCTGATAAGGAAATTTAGGAGGCGTGTACTCGCACGCCGACGGGAGTAGTACGTCTGCGATATTCCCTTTCCAGCTATCTCGCGTCTCTCGCGTCGCGAGAGGAACGCGCCGCGCCGCGCCGTCTTTTTATAACCGTTGTTTATTGCGATAGGTTCAAGTTCTTCGACTTCCCCCGAGATACTCGACGAGGTCGGATAATTATAGGCGAACGTTCAAGACGAGGCTAGATACCTCTTATAATTGAGATACCGCTAGAACTACGGATATTCCTTAGTCCTGCGCACAATGGACGGTTTAAATCACTCGCCCGTACTCTCTACCACCCACTCATGCCCGCCTTCCTCCCAAGTTGAACACTTTCCGATGGTCTAACGATTCAGGCCTCCTTCATTCCCGATTCCGAAATCCACGAACGAAAATCGTTACGAAGAAACCACGACGAACGTACTCGAGCCTGAACCCACGAGAATCGTAAACACCTACAGGTGCCACCTTTTAGATATTCTATTATGCGAGCAAATTGATAGTTGATGGTTTCTAATGTATTCTGACTCGGATGATTAGTGGGATATTCATGTTAACGCGTTGATTCGCCATATAACAGTCACAATGCATCGGTTTCGTTCGTCTCGTTGTTCCATTGCTTTTAGCAATTTTTTGTAGGAAAAAGCCTGTTGTTTGACTAATTTTCTCGTTAGAATGGTAAGAGGAAGTAGATTAGATCATTACGTATATTGTAGTACTATATTATGCACATAGTAATTAGCGAATACTAATTAGACCGTGAATATTTATGCATATTCAGGTTTTTACGAACGCCGGTAAAAGATCAACGCCTAGATAGAAATTTGTTCGTCTACTAAATGCACGTGCAATCAACAAGAATTCGTTCAATCAACGACTAAAATTTCGTTGGGAAAAATGAAGTTATCCAGATAAGTGGGATTCCCCTGTGTAACAAAATTTCCTGCGTTGCATTAAAATCCATGAAAATTGGTGGGCTAACGCTGTTACTTGATTATTCCCTCGCGAGTAATCTCCCTTTCCATTTTTTTCCCCTCTTTATCCGCACTCCTGCCTGATGCTCGCATATTGTCCCGCTATCTGCAGTCCGATTCGACGACACTTTGTCCCCGGTTGCCGGTTGGACTAGCAGAGACGAGCAACCCGATTTTCAATAACCGACAAGATAGCGGATAAGCTCGTCGGCTACCCTCACTTGCGATTTCTCACGTTTTCTACCGCGCTCTCCCGAGGGATTTATCCCTCGAACGTTCGCCTCCAGGTTTGTGGAGCACCGTGGCTCCGAATCGCGGCCGAAATCAATATCTTCGAAACGCCTGGCAAGTTCCGAGCGATCCTGTTGAAAACGATTTCGCTGTCTAAACGAACGAAGCCTCGCTCCCTCCTCACCGAGGGTTTCTTGCACAAGGAATGTTAAATGAAAAGCTTCGTGATTCTGTTGACGAGCTGCGAATTTTTAGCCGGCACGATGAAATAAATTATGTTTTTTTTGTGACAAAGGCACCAGGTATGCTGTGAATTTATTTTCCATACAAACGCGAGCTTTTGCTCTTCTCTGGATTTTTGTACAAAGCCGAAAGTACATGGACATGAGAGGGAAAAGAGGCGATTGGTACGGCTTTGTTGATATTCTGATTTTAATGTTACTTTATGATTAAATGGCAGCATTTTAATACGACATAATCGAATACAACCCTTAGCTCCGAAAATGTGGCTCTCTTAGATACAGTTGATAAATTATTTACACAATGTTTTAATATGACAATTATGTACTAGTTTGATAGTGCAGAGTGTCATGGATTTATCATCTAATTATTGCCAAAAAGATATACATATATATTAGGTTGTCGCAAAAATTTCTCTCTTTTTTTCTAAAGAAAATAAAATACTGAGTTGGCAACTAAGTGATTGCGGATTTTGTTATTAAGCGGTAATGATAAAATCATTTAGTTGTCAACCCAATAATATAGAACAAAAGATGACGTGCTATTTCGTCGTGAAACGACCGAAATTTTTGGGACAACCTGATGTATAGAATTATACGCATATATATAACCTGGATTATTAGATATACGAGAGGACTTGTACGTTTGGGATGGGAATGTGAATGGGTGTGGATGTTTGGAGGTGATGGATGCTCTAAGAGTTGCATGGGAATGAGTGGGAGTCAGAAATATACAGCTAAGCCAAGTTCTTTTTTCGGACTGTGAGCACGAAAAATAAATTATATATATTTCTAAAAGGATTACATATATCTCCGAACCAAATGGATTGTTCCTTTCTCTAACCATGTTATATTATGGTACATCCTTCTAATCGCTAACCAACACGGAAATAAAACAATCAACAAAATTCTACTCGTCGTATCTTTCTCTTCGTGCACATACATCAGTGTCGAACGTGGATACAGAAAATCGTTACCTATCGGAAGATAAAGGACGAGAACGTAACGCCTGCAACGTGATAAAAAAATGCATCAAAGAGGGGAAAGTTTACGTAACGTTAATCGTATCGGGGAAGATTGCGGAAAATGAAAAGGGCAGGCTTGGAATTTATATCCGCGGAGGGAGCAGGGGGATTAATCTGAATAGATGAATCTGAATTCGAGGGAGTATTCCAGGGCACGGCGCGCGTGCATACAGAGCACTGAGTTGGATAATATTTTCCCTAGACGTTAGCCCCGAATAAAGGCGAAGCATGTGCCTGGAAGGATCGTCGACGCCACGATAGTGCACGCTTAATAATAATTTCATGCCGAGATTTAATAAGAGATGCCTTGGAGAACGACTGCCGCGAGCCAAGCAGGGGTTGGGCCTCGTGTTGTCTTCGAATCGTTGCATCGGCCCCTATACAGGGGGAAACGCAACCTAATTACCGATATTTCTGATAAACATAAACGCTTTCGTGCTCTACAGGCACAGGAAGTTACGTATCTGCTAAGAAATCATAACGCTTTCCCTGGAAAGGTAAATTGCTATCCACAATTCTGTCTCTGCAATTCATTTAGTTTCTTTCGAATAAAATTTGATAAAAATGTAGCTTCTAAAAAGCATCGAATATATGGTCAAAACAATTGAAACGTAATTGAATGTATTTTTCTAATGGTTCGTTAATTTCATTATTTCAGATGATGAAAACTGTCGGTTGTAGAATTCAAGAGCTTTCGGAGTACAGTTATTCGTGCAATAACAAATTGTCTATCAACGTTCGTCACGCTTCTTCCAAATTTCAACTCAATTATAAAAATCACACGAATATTCTATTATTCGTAACGATCGTTAACGATGTCTCGATTTTTTCCATTATAAATTTCTATGAAATTCGTTACACCTGATTTATAAAGGTGTATGCCAATATTCGTTCTCATTTCCTTTCTCCACTTTCATAGATTCTGTGCGAATCGCTGTATGGGTAAATTATAAACGTTATTAAACCTGTGATCGAAACGATTCAGGATGCATCAATACCGATGGAATGAAACGCATCAAATTATCGAGCATAATAACGATACTTCATGCGAGTTAGGAAATCGAACAACCAATTTGTTCGTTCAGAC